CAAGCTTGTATTTCACAGGTCCGTGACGGGCCTTCGCGATCGTACGGTAACAAATATTTTCTTGAGTTATCCCCCTTCGGACTTCGCGACGGCCTTGCAACAATGTCTTAAGTAAGATAATTACCACGCACTGTAAACCCGAAATATCAGGATTTACCCTACAGACCTGTTCGTCGACTGCCCGTTTGATTCCCGAACAACCACCCAGGTTGCCAATACTGTGCGGCGTTTGGATCATGAGGCCGACGATGTAAACAACCGGTAGGCAGCGCGTTTCGAAATTGGTTTGAAATTTTCCACCTCGGGGAATTTCACTTTTATCGAGACTTCTATCTATTGGACGTCTTCACGGCTTGTGGGTAGTAAGAATCCGATTTGTCTTTGCGACAGACCCATCCTTGCAGACCTACACCATGACATGTGCGGGATAAACGACCTTGGCCCAGTCGCCTCTCTGCAACAGTACCGAGAAATCCCCAAAATCTACGAAAGGCTGAGTCTTTTACCTCATATCGTTGATCTGGTTGAAAATTCGTCATATTCTTTAGGAATACCGTTTGTAACTTGTATACGCAGTAATTTTATTCGGAGAAGTGCCCTCAAAACACGATGTAAAGTGTCCGCCCCAGGCCGAGGTCGAACCAGGGCAGTCGATCTGCCCGAAAACCGTCATTACTACTAGGCCAGCGACTCGCGCCAACCTAGCTAAACTATTGATAGATTATGTATTACACATAATGTTAATGACTCCAGTGTCGGACGTTGTGCTGTCAGACCAATGCCCGTGAAACGGGCAAAAAGTCTAGTGACGTTGGGGGATGTCACATACAACGATAAAGTCTGTACCACATGTTTTGGACTCATTCATAAATTTTCAAAAATGGAGGGGGAGTTAAAAGGTCTAAAAATGGAGGAAGAAAAATCAAGGAATCTTACTCACCACGTACGTGAGGAGAAAAAGCCGACGAATTCGGCAATCCAAAATACGAAAAAAACCTATGCAACTACGGCTTCTTTAGCCATACCAAACACTGAAACTGGGGATGGTTCGTCCAGGGAGCTAGACACAGTTGAATGCCAGTCTCTTAGGCGAGAAAAAGACCAGCCAAAGCGAATTCAGAGAACAAAGAAACATCCCAGAGAACAAACACGTACCTCTCTTCAGTCCAAAAAACGAAGGCCGCTTACATACACGCAGACCCGCTGAGGCAAACGGTCAGGAAGCGTACGAAGGCCCGCCCGAGACTCCCAGTCATGTCGCACAACAAAGATGTCGGAACGCCTTGTGGTCCGAAACCAAGCCAGAATATTCAAGAGGAGGCTTCGAAAGAAATTGCGATTAGCTTTTTCGACGAACAACCCGGAAACACAGAAGGAAGTGTAATCGACACGAAGATTAACGAATCGTACACGGATATGAGTTTCGCTAGCCCAATAGCCAGTTCATCCGGAGCCAGCGAAACAAGTAAAGTGGTAAAGAATGCTCAGTCAGTCAAAAGATGCGCAGCAACAACAACGGGCGCTAGATTCAATCGCAAGCAAAATGTAGTTATAAAAGGAGTGCCCGAATCAACGGCAACCATTCGAAGGGAGAGAGGTAAACATGATTTAGACCTTCTTCAAGTGTATGTGAAAGCTTTGTTAAAAGACGGCGAGTCACTTAGTGTTCTCAAAGAATTCAGAATAAGGAAGACGCAGTCAACGCCCGGTTCAGATTCTTGGCCTCGACCCCTAAAAGTCATTTTGGAGACTGAAGCACAGGCAGAACTCCTTTTACAGAGAAAATCATCTCTGCGGGGTCACTATCCCGAAGTTTTTTTTCAGCCGGATTACGAGCCAGCAGAGCGAAGGAAAATGAGAGAGCTGATGACGGGGCTGGAACAACAGAGAAGCAGCGGCGAAACACACCTACAGATCAAGAACGGACAAATAGTTCACGCCTAAAGGGCATTTCTCCGACCGAAGGCCGTCATTTCAAAACAATTTAGTCCGGTATCTAACATAAACTACCCCTCATATTATGCTCAAAATTCACAAAATCCTACCTTTATGCCTTCTAGTTTTCCAACTCAACAAAATAACATTCCTTTTCCCGGGTCATGCCTAAATAGTTTTCTATACAACGCTGCATCTCTAGTTAGTGGTAATTACCCCAAAAATTTCAGACCACAACAACTTTGTCTTTCACCGATTGCTTCACTCCAACAGCCTAATTTTCCACCACCAGCTCTCCCTTCTTGATAAGTAACAATGAGCGGAACCTACATACAGTACCTGTGCTAACTCATGAAATGCCGAGGTAAAAATTATAGTGGACAATGTAGTGTATTTTTGGTGTCGTTATTTGTGTTTATTTGGTTGAAATAAGGACGAAAAGACCATTTTCTGAAGGAAAGTTTGATACGGATCTGTATATTAAATAGAAAACGGGCCGGATTAGGAATACGCTCAGTATTTTCTCTCTCAACGCAAGATCAGTCGTGCAAAAGATGTCACAAATAAGAAAAACAATCTTTATGCTGCGAGTACCTCAGAGTTCTTCAGGCCTATTTAAAGCGTACTGGGTTCATGGACCTTAGAGATATTGAAGCTCACGCTTTTCAGCCTGTATTGAGGATTTATTTTATAAGCTAACGTTTGGATCAGGAATTATTTTCTCTGCCTCCGTCATCATATACTCGTGGGTTTACAATTGACATAAGGGACAATTATGAATATCTAAACCGCCCTCAAACAGGTTGATAACGGTAAAATACGGAGCGTGTTGTTTTTTACTCGTGGACATCTCTGCTCACACTCTTGTCGCCTGACTCTCGGCTCAGGTCTCGCAGATACGGCCAAAATAGTAAAGGACCTCATTTCTCACACGCGATGGAAGCGTCGCAACTTCTGTGACCGACAGCGAAACTGAGATCACCAGCGGAGGTTCAAGAACTATCTTACTTACAGTGCGTGACCTATCTCATGAAATGTAGGCTGAAATTCTGAAATGCGTTTTCGATTAGGAAGGATTACTTGATCGCGGTTGTGATACTGATTATTATAAAGCATACTCTTATAAAATTGTAGACTTGGCAGGATGTCGGCTTTAAAATGCATTTTTTTCAATCTCCTGTAGAAAGCGTGCTTGGTAAAAAATGACTACTTATGTAGCATGCGTTTTTCCCATTGATTTTCGACGGTCCTGGAAATTCAAATATATTTTATAGAAACCACAAACAAAAATGTGCTTTCTTTTAGTCAATCAATAGAGAATCATGTCTTCTTTATATTTTATACTTTAGGAAGGAGTATAATTAGGTTTTAAAAAAGTTTCTAATTATGAGACTTTTTAAGACCGCGATATGTCCATTCACATAGCAACGTACCTGGCCGTTTACCACTGCTCCTCATGGTCCGCATCCATTGCAAAATTTTATGGACCCTGTATGAGATCTCTTTAATGACGGAAAAATATGGGATTTTCTTTACTCGGAACGCATGCACCTTGTAGAATGTAATCGTTAAACGCTAATGCAATGAATGATCAGGCTCCAAATTTTTCGGCAATCTTTACATAAGAGCCTCACTTGCCCAGTCGCCTTATGACCTGAACATTTCCACTTTTTCTGGAAATTAATGTTTCGCTTCGGGAATCCTTCCGCAAAATAGGAAAGCCTTGGTCGGATGTGTATATAATCCTCCTTGTTCCTCCGGAAATGAAAGCCAACTCTGTGAACTCTTTGAAAAATTGCAGAAACTTCTTTCGATGTCAGGATCATCGTAGGCGATTTTACTTTGCCAGAAATTGACTGACCCACACATACTTTCTCTCTTAAATCCCAGAAGCTTCTAGGCACCATTCACTTTACAAACTTGTCTTACTTAGTCAACTCTTCGAACAGAAACTATAGTGTATTAGATTTAAGTTTTACAAATGGCACCTTCCCTTTATCTATGGATTTCTTTCATAATCTTTTTGCAAGTGATCATGAATTAATTCACTGTCGCCTTCCAGTTGCCATTTCCGCAAAGCCAACAGTACAACGTAGAATTTTTGACTTTGCTAATCGTAACAAGGAATTAGTAAATAATTTTACAAGCACATTTGATTGGCACAATATTTTTCAAATAATAATCTCAATTTTTTCAACAATTTATTACATGCGTAACAGAAGGCCTTGTTGACCTTGTTTCACATAAGACGTTTAAATCGAGTGTCACTTCCACCGCTGTCCCACACTTTCTTAAAAACAGACTTAAAAAGCTAGGGAAGCAGCTTAAAGATCCTTCCACGAGATCATTATCAGTCCATCTAAGAATCGTCGAAATATTTGAATTAGCTTCGAAAATGAGGCTAGCGAGAAGTAGAAGTAGAGAGTATTTAACTACTAGTGGCATGAATGCTTCTACATCAGTTGCTCAGATCTTCCGTCAAAGGTCATCTGCTAAATCCCACCAAGTCATTCCGCTTTTGCTTAATACCTACGATACCTTTATTACAGAGGATTCAGGCAAAGCAGAAATATTAAATTCATTTTTTTGCCAAACATTTCGCCATTGAAACTGACCTAATCCCTTTATTTCCTCTGTTGTCTGATGCCTCTCTCAGCAGGTTGATCACCATGGTTAACACCGGGCAAAATAAAATTTCAAATTCGGCTAAATCTGTTTATTAAAACTCTCGCGGGTAAATGACTATGTCTTCAATGAAAAAGTCGCTCAGATGCGTAACCGGAGTCTAGGACATGTATTAGCATAGGAAATTGCACGAATATATTCCAACGTCCATTTTCGCTAAAATTTACTGATATGTTACTTGATATAACTACGTAAACACAATTTCTGAACAAGAAAAGAACAGTTCATTGAAGGATTTGGATGAGCGAACTAATTGCTCAACGATAAAGCCGTCCAGAAATTCTCTCATAAGTTTCCGTCATCAAATTTCCTGAGATAGGTCACTTACTGTACTGCAAATATTACTGCATCACGCTGTGCACCCTCTCTCTCTCTTCTCTATGCCGCAACTGCAGAAGGCATATTTTGCTCATCCCGTCCAGGTACATATTATGGTTGCCCACAGTGGCAAGACCTGGTGTCGCTGCGGCACCTGCAACCAAGAGTTCTGTGAAGACGACAAAACCCTGCCAGCCAAACTGACCATTGGGAAGGAGGAGACGAGCGAAGAGGAAAATCAAAATAGCAATCCACAACAGATGAATCCCAAGGAGGAGGAGGCGGCGGCTGCTACGGAGGCGGAAGCCTTCCCAGAAGACGGAGAGGCCGCCAACGGGGAGGCTGAGGCAGCGCAGCAAGTGGAAGAGTCGCTCGAGCCCTACGCCGCCACGCTGCCCATTCTCACCCTCTGCCGCACTCTCTGTCTCCCCTCCTCGCTGCTGTTGTGACTTGGCTGACTTCGGCATGCTAATTAGTTGACTGTTCGTGCCCTTTGCCACCCATAAGAAACTTGTGTGCTTCGGGAAGCCAATGGATCGGTATGCACTCATTCCTAAGTGAATACACCACAGTCTACGGGAAAATCACAGTTGGGATCTCGAACTCCTGCAGAACCTTCCTCAGGCCACACTCGGAAGAGTGTGGTAATAGCGAACCTCAGATCTTAATCTCCTGCAAGGGAAGACAACTGCCAGCTGTCCTTTATTGGGCCTCAGGGTTGCAGGTAGGTACCAAGGACTGCGCAATCGGCAGGGACTCTCTTAAACATGTGTGGGAGGACGCACGTTCCAGTAACTACCCTCGCTGTAGCATCCACAGATGCACCCACGAAATAACCCATTTCCACTTCCTTAGCCCAAGCCTCTCATAAAAATTTGCAAGCGTATAGGTGAATTCCCAGATAACATTAGGGGGATAGCGATTGCATCTTCTCCCATTCTTTCACCATTGTTGACACAAGAAGAGAGCGATGTTGAAATCGCAGACCAGGCGAGAAAAAATACCCGAGCCAGCTGAGGCATAACAAAACGTAGCGAGATCCTCTTGGGCTCCCAGAACTAGTCGATGTCATATTATGGTGCAATGCTTTGATAAGAAATGTCTGATTGGTGGAGGAACCGTCGTGTGGAGAGATCATGACAACAGCAGTAAAAGTCGTGAAAATAGCAGGGGTTCCAGCGTTTTTAGACCTAATCAATGTCTCAGCCTGGGAGAAGATTGCAGGGCAGCTTTCAGTGGCTGCAACGCAAAAGCCAGCCTACCATCTCCATGTTGCTTTGTTCACAGAAATAGACGATGACCATTTTCACTAGCTGGGATGGTTGGGGTTCCAATGTGGGAGATGAGTGAGTGGCCAAGAGGACTTGTGCAGTAGGAGCCTCAATCTCTCCTCAAGAACCGGCGCTAAAACTAAATCAAGACGACTAGGTATGACAGAAGGCACAGTGGCAGTCGTAGCACAAAGACCCCGTCCATGCTTGCCTCGTCTTCCCTCTACTGACCGAATCAATACGGCCACGTCCCAGCTACCAGTCCACGCAGTTGACCGGGTAAGGCCGCTGCGGTGAGCATGGTTTTGTGGGAGCGCAGAGAAAACTAGAGTGCCAGACGGAAAGAGAGGTAAAAGACCAGTTCGTGCAGATGATTAGATAAGCTATCGCATTAAATTTCAACCGAAATCCTGAAATGCGTTTTCAATTCGTGAAGATTACTTAAGTAGGGTCGTAATAGTAATTGCCATGTCGCATAATATCAAGATATCCCATCCACGACATGATGCCGGCTTTCGAATAAGTTCCTTATTGATCGCCTCCATTAACTATATTCCGTAAAAATGAATGTTTAAGTAGTGTGATTATTCCATCTGATTTTCTACGTCCTTATAAATTCAAATATATCCCATGGGGAGGTGCGCGAAATTCTCATTCATATACCCATTTGGTAGCAAATTGCGTCTTCTTTAAATTCTTTCAATTTTAAAAAATCCCAATTGTGGGACTTTTTAGGACCGCCAAATGACCAACCGTACAGCATCGCATCGGCACATTTGTCAATGTTACTTATAAAGTGGACAACGCGGTCCATCCCCATCACAAATTTTCTGGGTCCTATATGTTTCCTTCGCAATCGTATACAAGAATGTATGATTTTCCTTGCACAAGAAGTATGTAGCAAGTAGTTTAGAGACTCTGAATGAAAGTGTAACGACGGGTTGAGTTAAAAATTAATCGGGAATTTAGAAAGTCTTTTAAAAGCGAAAGATACTCTTTATTTAAGTTTAAAATTTAAAGGAGACGTGATTCGCTACCAAATGTGTAGCATGAAGAATATTTTTATACATGCCTTCTACAAAATATATTTAGATCTATAAGGGCATCAAAAGACAATGGGAGAAATCCATACTACTTAAGAAGTCTATGCAGGCGGCCGATAAGGAGCTCATTCGATAGCCGGCATTCTTAAATGACTGGATTATCTTGGTACTTTGCCACATGATAATAAATAGTACAGCCCTGGCTAAGTAATATTCTGGACTTAAAAACACATTAAAGAATTTCAACCAATATTTCATGAGATAGGATATCTACTGCCGCAACTGCAGATGGCGTATTTTGCTCATCCTGTCTTATGCCTTCCCAGGTACATATTATGGTTGCCCACAGTGGCAAGACCTGGTGTCGCTGCGGCACCTGCAACCAAGAGTTCTGTGAAGACGACAAAACCCTACCAGCCAAACTGACCATTGGGAAGGAGGAGACGAGCGAAGAGGAAAATCAAAATAGCAATCCACAACAGGTGAACCCCAAGGAAGATTCGGCGGCTGCTGCTACGGAGGCGGAAGCCTCCCCAGAAGACGGAGAGGCCGCCAACGGGGAGGCTGAGGCAGCGCAGCCAGTTGAAGAGTCCCTCGAGCCATACGCCGCCACGCTGCCCATTCTCACCCTCTGCCGCATGCTGGAGACCCACGAGGGACGCCACTGTGAGCAGCTACGCCCGCCCAAACGCATCCTCTACCTGCCGACCAAACTGCTACAACAGATTCTCCACAGCTGCGGCCAACAGGCTGCGCAGGTAGCCACCTGGCTCAATGAGGCCTTTATGCAGCCTGCCCACCTGGATGTGAAGCCATTTCGGTATGAGGACCCCAATGACACGAAGAAGAACAAGCGTGGCCCCCGCCTCGACCCCGGCGTCGATCCCCTGACCCCGGACGGTCTGGAGTGCGCAGTCACTTCCCTGCAGGGCCTCATGGAGCGGGTGGGCAAGAGCCTCGATGTGGACGGAGGCGGCGCCGGTGAGGGCAACGAGGGGCCGGGCCGCATCGGGGCTGGAACAGCCTCGGATGCAGCCGGCATAGACGCCACCTCGGCGACCGCGACCGGCGGCACTAGTGCAACCACGCAACAGACCGGAAGGGAGAGGAACAAGCTGCCCAGCAAGCTGGCGAAACTTTTTGCCCAGCTGGGCGAGCGCAATGCCATCGCGCAGGCGGAGATTGAATTTAATGAAACCCTATGACGCACAGGCAAATAAGTGTCTCTGTAAAAACGGAATTTTGGCAGAATAGGGTCAGTTTTGTGTGCAAATACACGTGTAAGACAGCCACCAAAGGTCTCGAACAGTCTTCAGGGTGCGTGTGAATGCCTTTTAGTTCACAGAACGATTTTGGAAAATCTTTCAAAGTGGGGAAGGGGTGGGCGGCGAACCATTCACAGAGTGACCGATCTCATGTAATGTTGGCTGAAATTCTGAAATGCGTTTTCGATTAGGAAGGATTACTTGGTCGCGGTTGTAATACTGATTAAATTGCGGCATAATCCTATAATGTTTCGGGCTCGTGGGGATGTCAGCTTTTGAACTCACTGCTTCTCAATCTCCCGTAGAAACCGCACTCAGTAAAAATGACTACTTAATTAGCATGCATTTTTCCCATTGATTTTCAATGGTCTTGCAAATTCAAATATATCTTATAGAAACCACAAGCAAAAATATGCTTTCTTTCAGTAAATCAACAGAGAATCACATCTTCTTTATATTTTATACTCAGGGAAGGAGTATAATTAGGTTTTGAAAAAGTTTTCTAATTGCCGAATAATTTGGAGCCGGATCATTCGTTGTATTAGCGCTTAGTGATTTCACTCTACAAGGTGTATGCGTTCCGCGTAAAGAAAATAACATATTTTTATATGCCATTAGAGATATCATGCAGAGTCCATAAAATTTTGCAATGGATGCGGACCATGTTGTAAATTCCATGAGGAGCAGTGGTAAACGGACAGGTACGATGCTATGTGAATTGACATTTCGCGGTCTCAAAAACTCTCATAATTAGAAACTTTCAACCCAATTATACTCCTTCCCTGAGTATAAAATATAAAGAAGACGTGATTCTCTATAGATTGACTAAAAGAAAGCATATTTTTATGGTTTCTGTAAGACCTATTTGAATTTGCAAGACCATCGAAAATCAATGGGAAAAATGCATGCTAATTAAGTAGTCATTATGTACCGAGTACGCTTCCTAAAGGAGATTGAAAAGAAGTGCATTTAAAAGCCGACATCCTGCCAAGTCCGAAATGTTATAGGAGGATGCCTTAAGATAATCAGTATTACAACCGCGACCAAGTAATCCTTCCTAATGGAAAACGCATTTCAGAATTGCAGCCAACATTTCATGAGATCGGTCACTCACTGTATTTAGAGAACAACAGTCTTTCCAGGTGAAACAATTGTTTTAGCGTGGCCGCGTCGGTCATTTTTAAGCAGCAAATCACTTTTGGTATTGAATGGGAAGTCGCAAGACTGAACCGCAACACTTAAGAACAGCGCAAGTCCTGCCATTCAGAGATGTCATTCTTTGACAAGAAAGAACTGTGTATGGAGTTAAAAACATGTTTTAGTTGGGGACAGACACAACAAGAAGACAGGTGAGATTAGAGGAACTCGTACTGTTGACCTGTTGATTTCATGCAGGGTGTCGTAGCCTTGACCGGACGCCAGAAAGGTTACCTGACAAGGCAGACAGCGCATCGGTTCGAGCCAACGTATGACCATCCACGGGCACAGCCGTTAGCCTATGAATGCGCCAATCAAAGGCACCTGCAAAGTATCCATGGGGGCGGAGAGTTGATTGGTCAACATGAGCATCTGTGGTTGGCCGGAGGGCCTCAATAGGCTCGCTTTGACCTCGAGGACCACGTGTCTCGGAAAAGGGCCAAAAGGGGAGGTGTGTGTGCGTGTGTGGTTGAGGTCATAAACGAGCACCTCGGAGTCTCTACTGCGTCTCCTGACGAGAGAACAATTCGGATGGAAATCAAAAGGAAAACATGTCACAATCGGTCAGGGGAGCAGAGAATATGGCTGCTTCGGAGGATGGGAAAAGAAGAATCCTGGAAGTTGAAGGATATGTAAGGCTGAGAGAGAGAGAGAGAGAGAGCTTGTAGCCGAACACCAAAGCGATACAAAACAAATCTGTGCAACGTTTTTCCGTTCAGGTGTCATTCAGCTTCGCGGTGAATGTTCTCAGAGGTGATGATTTAACGGTCCCACCCGATTGTCTTCAGTAGTTCACCACCGTCAGCTACGAGGTCTACCGCTGTCACACAACGTTGGTGAAACTGCAATTTGCGCGCTGGATTGTTTAACGCAAAGAGGACTTGCACGGTATTCGTCTTATACTACTGCCACACCCATAGAATTCCAGTGGCACCAAAACTCTGGAAGAACGGGGGGGGGCGGACTTGGCCGTAGTGGCGGACAAAGCGAAACAGCTCCCTTACGCGTGCCACACACGAGCTGGGCTATAAATCCACGTCTACCGGGTCACTTGGGGAGGGGGGGGGGGCTCGGATCTCACACAGGAGAGACTGCTACAAGGACCACATTGAGAAGAAGCCGTTGCAGTTCGACCCAGAGTCCTGAGAAAGGCCAACTTACCCCGTCAGTAGACCAATTTCCTAGTCACCATTGGCAGCGTGTCGTGATGGTTTCAAAGGACACCCACTTGGCCACAATTGCAATTTAGACGTAGGGTTTGAGCTGAATCAACCTCACTTCTTCTTCTTCTTCTTCTTCTTCTTCTTCCATTTTCCGTATAGCAGGGGCTCGTCCGAGTCTAAATGATCTGGAATAAGACTGTGACTGATGCGACGTAAAGATCCTGTCTGACGCATGGCACGACAGTTCGATCGTCTTCACCGACGATGTTCACCGTGTGCTGCACAGCAGGGTGGCAGCAGGAATGGTAATTTGCGCCTGAGTTAGGTTAAATTGACAGGAGGTTTGCGCTGCATTTAGCGCACTTTCTTCTCCTCCCCCACCCCGGGGGCCGGTGCCCAACGCAGAGTCAAGAAGACCGGAGGCAGGAGCAGGCGCACGTGGCTGACACGGCGAAAACCCACACCTGGGGGGCGCATGACACCATATAGAGTGGAATCCCACACTCCGAGGGAGATCTATAGAGACCATATTAAGAAAGAGCCACCGCGGCCAGACACCCAGTCACAACTCCACATAAACACTCGTTGAGCTGATTGCGAGGTTTGAGTTATCCCGTCTCTAATCAACCAGGGAAGAAACTGCGTTAATTAGCTTCAAGCCCACGCGAAGCTGATGAAAAGCCTCGCATGATCCTAGCAGCAAATTGGCCGGGAGCGTATGACAGATAGAGTGGCAGCAACGTTCCTTGGCGGCAATCACGTGAGCGGGCCAAAACCAGGCTGTTGCTCGTGCTTTCGTACAGGCACTGGCAAGAGGCGCAGCATTGCAATAGGCGCCCGGTGTGGAAGCACTGCACACTTAAACTTCCAGGTTTTGGAAAACAATCTCAGTAAAAAACGAGAGATCGGTGACCCCACCGGGACACCTTTAAGTTGCATATACATAGTCCACCCGACTTTAAAATATTTCCTAAGGCAGAGGCTGTATGGGATGTTCATGCTTCAGCAATTAGTCCGTCTCATTCTCTCGAATATCGGGAGATTTGCCGACCGCTTCTGAGAGAATGAGGCGGAGAGAGGGGGGTGACCTCAAGTGAACGGAGTTCCATCTGCCTGAGCCCCCTCCAGCGACCACGAAGTCAGGCTGAACAGTGTACCCGGGCCACAAGTAGGCGGTTTAAGGTATCGGAACAGCCACTTAGTCAGGTTGAACAAGAACACTCGACAATAGAGAGAAATGGACCGATGTGAAGCACGCGCTTCGAGTGCTTCTAACAGCTCACCGAATTCCGCGATGGTTGTGTCATTTGGTTGATTTCCATTTGTTCTAACGCTGATATTGTGTCATTTCTACATACAGCTAGTACTATATTGGCCTTCAGTACTAGCTCCTTATCATGTCCCTTTCCCCATTAGATAGTTGCTCGTTATCCCCATTTCACGACTTTAGTCTTCTAAAAGCATGATATCATGTGACCTACACTTCCTCGCCACTTAGGCGAATTGCTGTCGAGCGAGGCCGGCTTTCTCGCCGCATCACGTAGTCTGTTCGAGAACCGACTATATCTTGTTTGTGAAGATGACCGTCTCGGTATTGAAGCACGCTCTACATGTCAGCACTTTAAGCCGCCCCGAGATCAGCTGGAATAGTCTGATGACCAGTATTCCATCATTTGCTATTGAAAGGGAATTTATTTTCGAAAAGTCCGTATCACCCCAAAGTCCTCTCTCGCTTACAGTTCTCAGCCTCCTTTGTCGACCACTTACTGTAGCAACGCTGTGATGATCTCTCCAATGAGTTTCGAACCCTAGGCGTCAAATTAGCCCAAACAAACACGACATTTGAGAATTCAAAGAAGATACTCCCGGGAGGGCATGCGCAACACACGACTACCATGTTGCACAAGCTATTGTCACGCCGATTGAGCTCATTGGTTGAGCTAGTCTAATGAACTCTGTCGTTAAGTTAGACGTTTTGACGTAGGCAAGGAAAAGTATTTAAACGTCCATAAACGAGGGTCTTCGATACATGCATGGCTGTGCCGACGCGCCAGACTATCTTGCCCTTCCCTACCTCTTCCTCATTCTTGAACTTACTGGTTGCTTAGCTGAATGGAAGGAACATAACACAACGCGACGCGCTCGGCATGTGTTGGATTGTCAGGACGTTTGACTTTGGATTGCTAATTCTTTCATAACTCTGGTCTTATCCGGAATTCCATAGTCTGGGATATATAGTACTGTCCTTAGCGCTAGCGACATGGCGTCCTGACTCGGAACTTGCTGGCATTGGGGGTGGAAAGACGGAGGGAATGGAACGACCCGCTTATAGACCTCTCACGACCTCTGTCCTCGCCAACCACAATCAGCAGACGCCTACTCCAACGAGTCTCCTAGGGAAGCAGGAGATCTCGTATCCGTTGCTGGGATCAGCCTACTTGGATGAACAGAAGCATGTCAAAAGCCACCGTCTTCGTTCATTCCTACCACTAGCTATTCACGACTCAAATACGCAGCCTTATACAGTCCCTCGTCCCCTCCAGTTTTCTCCAACTTTTACGTCGGGACGCGGTGGACTGG